AATAGGGAGCACCCGCCCCACCCCCGCCTTCGAGCCGGCCGGGCGCATGCGCGACTTGGAGGGAATGCGCATCCGAAAAACGTAGCGTGGATGGGGCGGAGTCCTTTCCCTATGAAATCAACGCGCTTGCCCAGAGGAACCAACTGCCCAGAGAAGGGTTGTGGCGCCCTCTGCTGGCTGAGTGCCTAAACCTTAGCATTTGTGGACTCCCTAGAATAATTTTTTTGTCTGTTTTTTTCCTCCACCTTTTAATAACACTAATGGCTCAAGCAGAAAATCTCCAAAAAATCACAGGGAATCTGGTAGCACTTTATTTCCGGCTAACAATTTTTTATTAAAAAGCAAAAGCTTTTGTGAGCTGCAGCTTTTGCCTTTTAATAAAATTTGTTAGCCAGAAAAAGTGCTACCAGACTCCTGATTTTTTGCCGGCATAGATTTACACAGCTCTCCTCCTAAATGTCCAGAAGAAAAAGAGAAACCTAGTTAGGTATAATGGCTCTTCTGTTGTGGTTCGGTTCTGCGGGTTTGGGCTTAGCACCAACATCCCTTTCTTTCCAGGCCCCCATTGTGGAATATGCTTGCAGTCCCTGTTCTCCCAGCTGCATGTCCATCCAGCAGAAATGCAGGTTTGAACCTGGCCTTTTCACTGGAAGAGCAGCTGGAATCCCTTCCTCTGCCTCCCCAGAAAGGCTTCGCTGCAAACGAACATTTTTGACAGCTGTAAACAATTCTGCAGCTTTCTAAGGCGTGTGCAACTCCATCAGCCTCAGGGTTGTGCTAGGCTTTTGCACCTCGTGTTGTGGGTCTGACTGCAAAAATGAGAGTGCCAAGGAAATGTTTCAGCCCGATACTTGTGAGATGCAAGCCTTAAGGCACCCATTTGTCCTTCAATCTTGCTGAAACTCCCAAAGATGTAATGAGGAACAAGGAGAATGTTGGATTTCACCCACTCTGGGGATCATGAAAGGGACGTTGCTGGGCTCCATGTGACTTTACACCCTTGTCTAGACCAGGGTTTTTCAAACTTTTTTCAGGCCACAGAGCCTATTAGTTGAAAAAGAATCCCAGAGCCCCTTATCAAGAGGCAAAGCTCTCGTGCAGTGTTTCGCAAGCTCAGCAACTTTAAGATGTGTGGACTTCAACTCCCAGAATCCCCCAGCCAGTCCACCCATCTTAAAATTGCTGAGCTTGAGAAACACTGCTCTAGTGATAGAAAATTAGCTGGTTTGAGTGAAGAGGATTGGGGTGGGGGTTTTTTTGGCTTTTAGTCTCTCAGAGGACCCCATCAAGTTCTTGTGGAACACTGAAAAACTCTGGCATTAGTGGGCACCCAAGAGAATTGCCAACTTGGCAGCTGTTATCTAAAACCTTGTTCTTTAGGGACAATCTCTTCATGTCTGGATCTGTCTTCGGGGGTGTCATGAACCCTGTTCTAGAAGGGTTTGTTGCAAGTCCCTTCTTTCATTATGATAAAATACACACATACTAATATTGTGGGAAAATGTCAGCAAGGAGGCAGAGCATTCCAGGATTTCTGTGAAAATGTGGAAATACAAAGGGGAGCTGATGCAGATAGCAAGATGGTGCGCCTGCTGCCAATTACTGCCGCATTTGGAGGAGGTGCTGGGGAAGGAAGAACAGCTGAAGTGGAAGGGTGTGATTCTCAGCAATAAAATAATGAAAATATATTTTGTGCCTGCCACATTGCTGTAGCGCAAGCGGCATATAATAGTGTTGACAAAATTAGTTGCTATATATTTTTGTTTCAAAGCAGGTCTGCTGCTTTGCAATTCAAGAAGTAAGAACTGAGTGAGCAGCACCAGATTTCAGAGGCAGCAATAGCCTTGTCTGTGAAAACAGGAAAATGAAGCTCTCCAGCTCCTCTTGATGTCTTTTCCCGCATATTCAAGCTGTGGCTTCTCTAGCGTGGGAAGCATCCTTTTGATCTTGCAGACGGCATCGGGTGCCAGGACGGGGCTGAAGAGAGCAATAAAATCAGCGAGGCCCAGTAGATTTCCAACTCCTTTACCAACAGTGGCCATCGGAAGCATCTGTATTTTCTTGCACAATGAAATTATGCACTTGGGTGCGTGGGTGCATTCCTCCCCAGAATGCGTGCCTCAGTGTTGTGAAGGCCTGGCCAGGATAGGCGCAGATGCGTTGTCTGTGTGTCTGCATAGGTACCAACGCTTTTCTACGTGTGCGCTGGGAAGGACACGGCTGGCTGCCTCCCCCCCGCACTATGGGCCATGTGACCAGGAGAGCGCTGGCTTAGAAGGATCGCTTGGCATCTTTCCAAACTGCCCCCCTCCAAACTGCCTTTTTTTCTGGATTATTTTCCTCTGCAGCCCCAGTTGCATTGGGCCATTTCAAGCCAGGTCTCTCTCTTGCCAGCTTCTGCCCCCCCCCCCTCCCCCCCCTCCTTCTTTTGTCCTCTCCTTCCGCTGACGCGCTCTTTCACTCGGGCTGACGATGCGTGCACGTG